TATTTGCAAATTGATTAATTGTATTATTAATTAGCTGAGTGCGATCATATTTATCGAAAAATGGCTGAAACATTTTGTAAATGTAAAATTTCATTTTCTGCCAAACTATTGTTGAGTGAGAACATCGGATTTGATTAATTGGTTTAATGGCAAATACATTTTGAAAGCGAAAAGTTTCTTCGAACTTTGAAAAGCAGAAAGTATATTTCACGCATCATTGTATATCTGTTATCGTACGCGATCAAAGGCTATTTTCTCAATATTTCCGCGATTGTTTAATTTTTCGTTTCAAAAATTTGTGGCATGGAAAATGATAAAAGTGTTCGTACTTTTACGTATTTATCGCTTTGCCGATGACTGTGTCCAAGAAGGTTTACTTCTAAAATATAAAAGTAATGTCCAAGAAGGTTTACTTCTAAAAATATAAAATATAAATGAATGTATGATTTATTGAACTATTTTTCAAAATCATTTATCCAAATTGATACTAATGTTGTTAATATTATCATTACTGCTATCATTATTGGTCATGGCTAATAATTATTGTTGCTATTATCACTGCTATTACTATTCGTATAATTATCCAACGAATGCTTAATGTTAAAGATATGCTTACAATGAATAATTCATATCAAATTCTCTACCAGCGATATCATTTCAAAATGTAATATTTAGAATTTTTCGTTACAAAAAGGAAAAAAAGCTTTAGCAAATGCAATGACATATTTTGCAAACATTTACACATAGCATCTGTTTTTAAAATTCTTTGAATATTTAACATCTTGCGAAGAGATGCTAAGTTTTTCTTTGAAAAGGAAAAAATGTTGAATTTAGTTATTGCCAATTTGATTTTTCTATTTTTTATTTATGTTTTTTGAGTTGACATTTTTGATGTGTTCTGTTATTACTAACTATTACTAATGGTAATAGCTGTCAAATAATTATAAAAAAATTTTTGTCTTCCTTCTTCTTTCTTTCGAATTTTCTTTCCATATATATCAATTTTAGAAAAATTTTGTTTTCCCTGAATTATCTCTTTCGTTTTTTAAATAAGTCTGATGCAACAATTACTTATCAGCAATGATTACTTTTGAAATTTTCCCAATTAGTTTGTGCAAGGTAGTAAATATTCGAAATAATCTTGCAAAACTATATTACTTAACATCTTAATAGTTTGTCGTTGTAATTTTTGCAAAAAAAAGTCAATTACTTAATAGAGATATGATAATGACATAGTAATAACTAGAAAATTTAAATAGAAATGTATTATTGAAATTATTGTAATATTAAAAATGAGTTGCTTACTGAAGTTGGATGATAATCAGTTAAAATGTATCATTGTTTTTTTTTTCAATATTACACTGAAAATTCACTAATTTAAGCTAACATTTTGTATCGGTTGCAATTCAACTGCTATTTGAATGAAATGGAAGAGATAAAATTGATGAATGTTTGAAATATAAACAGTTGCCTTTGATGTTAGACCTCATCAAGACATACCTTTTCAAATATTTCACATCTTATATATATATCTTGACATATTACGATTAAATTCAATTAAATGATATATCTATTAGTATCATCTATTAAATAAATCCTTTCATTTGTCGCTTACTCTTTCATGTCATTACTTTCCTCACATTTGCAAAACTTTGCATAATAATTATGAATATTATTAATGTATTGGCAAAAGTTATGCTAACTAAGAAAATAAATGTCCGAGAAAGTGATAATCACTGAAAATAATTAAGGAAGACAAAAGAATTCCAATAATTTACGTAATAGTAACAGATGAACGTTGAAAGTAATTTTTTTTTTTAATTCTACGATCATAATTTTGGTTAGAAATAAAGACGGTGAATTTTTAAATCCATATTAAAATATCAGATAGGCCATGATGTTTTTAAAATAGCACTTTCCTCTTTCCAATTTGCTATTTCAATTATCATTTCCATTGTCTCATTCTTCCATTCTCGGATTGCCCAATCATTTATTTCATCTCTTCCAAATCAATGATTAGTTTTATTTCAGCTAGTTAGAATCTACCTCACTATATCACTAATTAGAACTAATTAGAATCTACCTCATTATATTATAAATCTGAGCAAATAAGTCTATATCTAACAATTATCTATTGATTGGAAAAAATATAACAATAAATATTGGATAGACAAGCAGGTGAAAAGTTGACAGGATAAGATAGATAAGATAGAAGTTCAATCAAGGATAGTCCCTAGCAACTGCTAAAAATGATAAAAAAGAGAAGAGTTGAAAATTTAACATTTCTAATGGTATAGAATTAATTCTCAAAATAAAGTAATAAATTCAAATTAAACAGCTAATAAAAAACGTCATCTGCTTAGCTCATACTGATAGAAAGAGAAGTGAAAGGATCATAAATGAAATCAAATTTTCTTTCTAATATTATTTTCAAATCAGTGAAATTTTATATCTTATTTTACTACTTTACTCCGCATATCATTTATTTTTCATTTGCTATCCTTGTCACAAGTAATTAGTAATGAATCAATAGAATTAAAATTCCAAATTTTGCTTTTATTACCAACACAACCTTAAGCTGTCATTATTATTACCAATTACGTTTTGTCTTTTTATACTTACATTGTATATTTTATTTTTTCTTTCTTCATTGTATTTTTACAAAATTTCATTCTTTCAGCTACAATTACAACCACAATTCTCGCTGCGCTTTTTCCTCTTTTTATTAAATGGTTTTTAAATTTAATTTTGCAGTAATTTTGCTGAAAATAGAATGCGAAATTTTATTGACCCGAAATATTTCTGTAAGAGATGAAAACGACAAGTTACAAAGATTTTAAATGAATTTATCCATATTTTAAATGAATTTATCTATATAATAATGAAATTTATCAGTTGTATCAAATTTAATAAAGAGTTGTAAGCAAAAAAAATCTTGTAATTTAAAATTTTTAAGCTTGAATCGAATTTAAGATAAAAATAAAATATCTGAATAATTTTTAAGTAAAGAAAAAGTAATGAAGCAAACATAGAAAAAAGTGATTGTGAAGCGACGAGTAACTTTTGTAAACAGTACTTTTGGAATTTTAAATCTAAAATATTTGCAGAAAAATTTTTACATGTTCTAATAGCATTAGCATCCTTAACAGACAGAGAATAACATAATTTCATTTTAAATCATTTGGTAATGAAAAATACTAAATTTCTTTTGTTTATTGATCAATTTACCAGAAGAATCCTAAAAATTTCATCATGTTTTTTTAATAATAATTCATTAACATATCAAATCTTTGCAAAATGAGTGCAAAATTTTGATCATTGTCCGAATTATCTTTTCAATCTTTTTTCTTTTCTTCATTAAATAGAGCTTTCGCGAATGATTAATTAATTTTAGTTGCCGGGATTTTATTTGTGTCATGCGCTGAAGAACAATTGTTTTTAAATTAATTTTTTTTCAAATTTCATTTTGTTACACTAATATCAAAAGTTTGCTTTACTTTATTTTCTAACACTTAATTAGCTCCACTTTTTACGAAAAAAAATGAACAGATTATTGTTATAAACACTTTTAACGATTTGTTGAAAACAGAATAATGATTACTTAGATTATATATTATTCAGTCAATAACCAATATATTTATTGAATGGTTACGTAACGTTTTCTAGTTTTGATCATATAAAAACACGGTTTTTTACATAGGTCTCGTAAAATTTTAGATGTTGGTGTTTTATTTATCATACGTCCATGAACAAGTAAAAACATAAATATGTTTAGCTAAAATTTTCGGTGCATATTTTTTTCCTTTCTCAAGCACTTAGAAACCTTTCTTATCCATTTATTTATTTTTTCTCTTCGCGATAATTGATCGTCATTGAAAAGCAATCAGATGTATTTGTAAAAATTTGAAACATAAAGTAATTTGAGAAAACTAATAATGCATGTCCTACAAAAACTATGAAGTTCATCAAACGATGAAACAGTTAGCATTTAAATTTTAAAAAACTCATCATTAGGTGATCATATCATAATAACATATAAAACACTCGTAAAAAAATTAGATGGTATAAGTTTATTTTGAAAAAAATTTCTCATTTTCATTATTCGTTGTTTTCCAGTTGATTTCTTCACAATTAAACTTCATGATGATTTGAGAGTTTTCTTTGCAATTTGTGTTGTTGAAAATCGAGATTTACATTTGATTAAACGGAATCAGTGTAGCTGTGATGTATGAATAGCCAAAATACTTTCCCTGTATTTTCATTCCATTATTTCAATTTAATTTAGTCTTGGTATCCTGTATCTTTAATATTACAAAAGAAAAAAGTATTGCGTTGTGCTACAAAGTAATACAGTATCATCCATTTATTATAAAACAATTACAGGTCATATGTGATATTTCAACGGATGAGCGAAATAAATATTTTACTAATTTTTAATTTACCTATTTGACGCATGTCCGCAGTTTTATAATTTGCATTTGCTGTTACTAAAAGTGAAAAGATAATGACTGCTTAAGCCATTTGCGCCCACAATGATACTGCTAAATGAGACGATTATGAACAACTACTCGGCAATTTTTAAAACAATCATTTCCTTTTGTTTAACTTACATTTTATTAACTATTCCACAACAGAAAATAAATGCAAAATTTCAACAGTCCTACGACTCAGGCAGCTTTTCCAATTATTATTTGTTGCCTGACAGTATCCTTCTAAAGGTTGGTAAATTTCATCAAATTCAAGAAAATAAAATGGAGCAAAGTAGTGATAGTAATGAAAAATTTTATCTCCATCATTTGAAAATTTTTCATTTCCATCTAATAATACAATAAACAATATTTCAATCTTAATTAGCCATCAAAGCTTGTCAGAATAAAAATTTTAGAAATAGATCGTATGTTAGCATACTCATTACGCAAACCTTCAGGCTAATTGCATGAATTAGTGGTTACGCTTAGCGAATTACGCATAATTACGTGATAATTCCGTAGTAGCGTTCGATGCATCGTTGTTGTTCCGGAGCTCTACAAATTGGCTGGAAGCTCTGTCGACAAGCACTCAAAAAGTTTAGAAATGATGATGAGGAAATTTCCGATTCAGACGAGCGTGCCGCATTCACTCAGTCCGTTGATCGCATTCCGGAATCGGTTGATGATGAATCATCATCTGCTGTACGGCTTTCGCGTCGATCTTCCCTCCTCGTAAAAATTTTGCCGCATTTTTTTTTCTCAAATTATTTTAAAAAAAGGAAAAATGAAATGAAACATTTAACAACTGATGCATTCTTGTATTCCAGTTTGTCACTGAGTAAATGTGTTAAAGCTTAAGGATTACTTTCGATTGAGTTAAGAATGTATTGATTGGTTTAAGAGTTGCTTATCGATTGGTTTAAAAATTGCTTATCGATTTTTTTCAAAAAAGAATAAATAATTTTGGATATATTAAGGTCGACTTGATTTCACTTTTTCAACGATCTTCTTCCAACATTGTCAAACCGATTCGCTTTCCTGGACAATTATCTGAAATACAGTCAGTTTTGTTCCTTTTCATTCTAATCTTTAAACAATTGTGATAACTTTTGACGGTAATCAAAAAAATTTTGAAGTAGTTTTGTTGATAAAAGTAAAGGAATTTCGAAATTTGTTCAATTAATATAAAATACAAGTTACAAGTATTGAGTAATTTGGTTGTGAAATCAAAAAGGAATTAAAAGATACTTGAAAATTAATTAAAACTTATTTCTAACATGACAATTTTTGCACTTTCAAGAAACTCATTTCAAAATCTAATGGTTGAGATGAATTTTGTCAATCTGAATATCAAAGTGGAAATAATAATTGGAAAGAACTCAGTTAATTAATTGCGAGTAATTTAAGAATGTAAGTAGCATTATCATTAGTGGTATAAAGTAGTTGGTAAGCTTTGTGGGCTTGTTGCCAAATATCTGCTAAACTTTTTATTTTATTTCCTATCGCTTAATTAATTACTCAATACTTGATTAATTTTCTTTCCATGATTTCAGCGTATGCTGGAACGACAGCAAACATTGCTGTGACACAAATGATGAAATTTTTTAGAGATGAAAATGAAGCGGAAGAAGAAGATCCAAAACAGATGTCGAAAGGATGGGTATTGGAAACGATACGACAAAAAAAGGAAGCAATTGTCCGTTTGCGAAGTCAACCATGGAGTATGAAGCGGAAAAGACGTACCTTAAAGTATGCTAATATATTCCGCTCATTTTTTTCATTATTTTTTCTTCTGGAAATGATTGAAGAAATATAAGCGCTGTAAAAAATATAGCATAAAATTTATTCTCGCCAAAAAATTGGAAGTTACTGCATTAATTGGCAATTTATAAAAATGATCGCACTGTAAGACTGGCATATGAAACTGATAATAACAGAAAAGAATGTGAATTTTGGTTGAAAAAAAAGTGAAAGGAAATTTTAGAGTAGCTCGGCGATATTTGAAACGTCAACAATCGAAAGTATCGCGATGGCATCTGTACAAAGTAGAAGCAGTCAGGCAGTGGACAGCATTCGGACGATGGTGCAGTAATATGAAGATATATTTGATACCGTGGGAAGCAAAAATTAAAACAATTGAGAGTAAGATTGATCAATTATTAGATTAGAATGTTCTTTCCACAGTATTATATGCCTTTTTTGTGAAATACTCGAGTAAATGAACGGATTTTAGCTAACAATTAAACGGGTTGTGGAAGTTTACCGGTATTCAGAATTAATAACTTGCTTGATCAAGTCATTTATTTGAGGTGAAATCAATCAGTGAAATAAACTTCAGAAAGGTAAATTCCCTGAGGTCGTTCTCATGGACGGTATTCAAAAAAGGCTTGATTTCTTTGAAGGCATGCTTTATTCAACAATATCATCAAAAAATTTGTAATTGTCATTAATTACTAACTGTTTCTATTTTTGAGGTCACTATGGTTCCGTAGTCTCATCTTATTTTACATTCTTACGGTGGATTCTTAGCGTGAATATTACTATGACTATTATAATGATGTTATTCGTTACCATTCCAGAGGTAAGTGTACTTTTAACAACGGAGACAATTTTGAGATACTAAAATTTATTTCATATTTCAAAATAATATATGCAATTTGTTAAAACAAGTGAATGTGACATACTTAGCGGATAAAAATGATGCAAATCTGCGGATTTCGATTGAAGTGCATATATTTAGATAATTGGAAAAGTTTTCTAAAATAGATGTTGAGAGAGCACTTGATAAAGGCGAAAATGTTATTAAAAAAGTTAAGTTAAAATTTAAAATATAATTTCTTCCTTTCTTTAAAAATCTATTTTAACTTTTATATTTTAATTTTTTTTGCAAAATTTTGTCTGAATCGTTATATTAACGATTATAGTTCATATAAACTGCTAAATTTCATAAAGCAAACTGATATTTGTTACAACAAGATAAGGATTTGTTTCAGTGGTTGGCAGATTCTCGAGGTGATCCAGAACGATTCAATCGAACTTATCATATCAAAGTTATGAAAGAGAAAGATATACCACGAGCGGATGAATTAAATACCATTCTTGATTTTAAAGTAAGTGTTCTCACTTTTTGATAACAAATAATTTTCAAAACGCATCAAAGGTAATCAAGCAATAATACCATTTTAAAAATTGCTACAAAATATGATGGGGGCATTCTTTTACACAATATCTTATGCCATTTCAAATTTATAAATAAAAAAATTTAGTGTGTAAAATAAACAGAGGAAAATCAAAAACGAAAAATTGCTTTGAATTTTTCAAGTAACTAATAATTATCGTTTCTAAACGTAGTTGTAAAGCCGCGACATCTATAATTTTATTTGTAATTCTTCTAAACTTTTTTTGGATCAATTAATTTTTAGGGTTATTTTGAGTATTCATTGTTATTTTATGGTTACTATAGCAGTGAAACTTATTTTGGTGATACGGTTCAATACAGCGTGCCCGTTGCATATTTTATTGTAAATTTATTCATTCTCGGTTATAGTTTCTTTATCATCTTGCAAAAGTAAGTTTGTTATATGATTAATTCTAATTCAACACATTTTTCATTTATTCCGAAAAAAACGGAATATTTTCATTTATTCCGAAAATGAATTTTCATGCAAATTCAATAAATTAGAAATTTTTTTATTTCAATTCAAATTTCGAAAGTCTAAAGTAAAATTTCAAGAAGAATTTCACAGTTCCCAAGCGGAAATATTTGTTAAATTGAGAATTGACCGGAAATAGCTTGTTAACTTCCGGTATGGTGTAAAGGGTATGTATGATTCTACTTTGGTCGGCAGTATTATTACGATTAGTGAGAATATTTGAATTTCGGGGAAAATGCAGAATGTATTACAGGATGGCGTCAAATGCTCGACAAAGTAAGCTTGCCGGTGGAAAAGCGGAGCAGTATGTATTCAATTGGAAATTATTTGCTGGCTGGGATTATTCTATTGGAAATGCGGAAACTGCTGCCAATTTTGTGATGGCTAATGTCAACAAATTTCGAGTATGCTACGTTTCATTATTTATTTAATCTAAAATTCTAAAATTTTTCGTGTTTTCGAATGATTTTTTTGAACTGTTAGCTTATTGAAAAATTATTCATCCATATATATTTTTTCTTTTAGTTCATGAATTTTATTTAAAATCGGAACTGACAATTTTGAAAATTTCTAATATCTTTTGTAGGAAATAATTGCTGAATACAATGTGAATCGTACAAAAAAGTTCGAGTAAGTATTTTTTTTATTACAAACGGTTATTTTATTTAGCATATTACGTTGATAAGCTACGTGCTCATCAAAGCTTAGAAAATGCATTACTTTTAACGCTCAAATAGGGTGTAGCAGGGAAGAAAATTTTAGAATTTTCTTCTACATGAAGTAATATTTCAGTGATAATTTGATGAGTTGAATTCAAGAGAAATTTATATTTGTTATGATATACAAAATGAGATTTGCAGGTGATTGAAGGGAATATGGTATCATTCCGGAATTTTTTGAAATCATAGTCTAAGAAATTTACAAAATTTTCTATTTCAAATATCCATGATGAATCAGTTTTGCACACAATTGTTTCACGTTATGAAACTAAGTAAAAAACTGCTATTTAACTATGATTGTTATGTATAGCTTGTTTTTATAGCTTTTTCCAATTTACTCTTCGTGTGTTGGCGAATATATTAATTTTTACGATGCAAGCTGGATCAGTATGGGCTATTCTTGCTGTTAGCCAAATAACAACAAAAACAAGTTTCATACAGCGAGTATGGGTTTACTTTATCTTCTGAAATTTTGAATTAAAATTGAATAAACAGAGTTGAATTAGGTTAATTTACATTTGATTGAGTAATTTATACTTAAATCAATGTAAAATATTTTTATAAGCAATTCAATTTTTATGTATTAGTGACTATATTAGTTATTATGAAGTAAATTTATTTTGCTTTTTCATATATCATAGGTTCTAATCCATTATTATTATGCTATAAAAGAAATTTTCTGTACAGTTTTTCCTTCTTTTTCCAATTTTCAAATTATTGCGGATTCAGAACGCAGTGTCAATAACGGTCTCATTTATCACTTTAACATTTCCAAATTTTTTCGATCTCATCAGTAAAATGGAACGATATCATCCACGAACTGCTCTTCGACTACAGTTAGGAAGGTATCTTACTGTTCCATGAAATTTGCTTATTAATCCAAACTATTAAATGAAATTATCATGTAAATTACCAGTGATAACTTTTTTAAACTTATTTTGCCTCGAAAAATCAATAGAATGTAATATAAGTATAATGAAATATTTGCTTTGAAGTAAGAATAGCATATTATCTGTTGCTTGCAATTGAAATTTTCTCTTTTCTGTTCTAATTACAACAAGTAATTAAAAATCACTATCAATGACAATGTCAAAATATCATCACAGTTCTTCGATTATTTCAGGGTTTTATTCCTCTATATATTGAATTATTATACTCTTATTATTTCATTAATGTTCATGCTGAATACAATGGAAAGCCAACGAAACGTTGGTGAGCGTCTTATTCCAGTTGAGCAATATTCCGATCATCATCAAAATAAGGCACCGACTTACAACACTTCCTACAATCAAATTATTAAACAACGGTTTCTTTTAAATTGTATTCTTTTTTACCTCTTCAAAAATTGAATTCACACTTTAAATGTTTTTTTAGCTGCTATTTATTATTGTACAGTAATTTCAAACTTCCATTTCTAATTCGATCAGATTTTTTTTTTTTGATAGAAAGGATTTTCAATTTGGGATAATTTCCATACATATTATTTTAGGAAAACAAAAAATTGTTCATAAGCAATTTTTCTCAAACTAAACAATAAATGAAAATTTTATATGCAACAAGGAAAAAAGATCAGTGTTCTGTTCTACAAATTGATTGCACATTGATTTATAGTAATAGTGCATCATTAATAGGTCTGGCCGTCAAGTGGTATTTGATTTCCCATCCATAGCATCATTAATTTTCAATCGTAGTAAATTTAGTGACATTCCAACAACGCCACCTTCTGGTAAATCATGGACAACTGTAAGTATTTTTAATATTATTTGTAAAAAAAGATCAGCTCGGCCGTATTATTCCTTTTATTTCATATTTTAAAATGTTTAAAATATCATAAATAAGAATTTTTATTATGTGTCACAATTTGATGTGATTTTGCAGTGATTATCACAATAATTATGATGTAGAGCTAAAAGCCACAATTACGTTTGACTTTTCTACACATGAAAACGTGATGAGTGATTAACATATCACAACTTTTGTATTTCCAATATTTATATTGTCTAGAGGGAAATTTAAAACATCATGCTGTTCATATTTAAACTCTATATTATTTGAAATATGCAATATGTGTCATCCGTAATATATCTGTTCGCCCTTTTTACAACTTAAATAGTTATAATTGTTTTATGACAAATCTTTATCATATTCAGTATACTGATGCGATGTTGTTATTTTCAGGTTTTTCCAAATTTTGGTCCGCTTGGTATTACGAATCCGAAAGCTGTTGTGACTGAAAATCGGCGCAGTGCAATGAACGCAAGTACGTTTGTCGCATATCCGATAGGTAATACCGATTGGACGAAAAATATTTCTGCTAAACCGACATTTCTGAATTATTCTACTACCGTGCAAGCAGTTTTATCGGCAGCCCGTCTGTCCACGGATTGGTATGAAGAATGCTGGGAAAATCTCATCGGAGAGGTTTGCACATTCTCGTCATTATCATCATTTTCATTAAGATTGAATCAGTTGTTGGCATTACATTCTCTGCTGTAGTAATTATAATTTATCTTATCATATCATCTTTTCATTCATTTTACTACCAATTATTGTCATTTTTATGGTGATAGTAATGATTTCGAAAGACGATAGAGATGAAAGCTATCGATAAGAAATTCAAACCGTTTGTAATAATCAATGAGAGAGGAAATTAAAGAAAACAGTGTAAGATAGTCATACGATATAAAATAATTCCGGGTAAATTATATTTAAGTAGAATTTTAGTTCATTTAAAAAAATTAAAGGAAATAACAAAATTGGTGACGACCGATTTGGTGATGACAATTGGATCTATCCTGGTGATCGATTTTTTTCGAGCTCTTTGGGTTCGATACACTAATATTTGGTGGTTTTGGAATTTAGAAACGACTTTTGTATGTTTCTTCTATTCTTATTAATATTTTAAAAAGAAATTTAGATTTTGTAAAAATATTTTCACGGTTTATCTGAATTTAACAAAAATATTCATTGCAGCCGGAATACGGTGAATTCAAAGTTGCTGAAAATGTGCTACATTTGGTAAACAATCAAGGGATGATATGGCTAGGACTATTTTTCGTCCCCATGCTACCGGCTATTAATAACATCAAATTAATTATTCTGATGTATATTAGAGGTTGGGCTGTAATGACTTGTAATGTACCAGCCCGGCAAATATTCCGTGCGTCCAGGTTTGTTGACATCTGGCCAATGTATTTTTTCCCTTTGTTTTATTTAAATATGTTTTATAGTCACTTTAATTAATACTATAATTACTCTTTTTTCAGTTTTCGTGTAAATGAATTTTTCATTGCTAGTTTCTAATACTTTATTTTCTTTATTTTGTTTAATATTTTATTAATATTTAAAATTCGCAATTATTTTTCAGAGGGAATTTTTTCGATCGTTTATTGCAAACTGATTTCTTATGTTTGTCATTTTAAATTTCAAATTACAAAATATTGCAAAGATTGCAAAACATTAAATGAAAATGCAAAATACGGCAAAATATCATGGAAAATCTGGGACAGTGAAACAAAATTTTTCGTAGCATATTTAAATTTTATTCATTTTTTTAAAACTTTGAAATTTCTCGTTTTTACAGATCAAGTAATTTTTATTTGATGCTCTTATTGCTTATGCTATTTCTTTGTACTCTTCCGGTAGGTTACGTAATCGCTTCGAAGAAACCATCCAAAATATGCGGTCCATTTGGGTTCGTCTATTTTCCCCTCCATAATTTTTATATATAGATAAATAAACTGAATTTGAAATTTTATATCCAAAATTAAATGTTCTATTTTAACTCTGCATTTAATTTCAACTTTCAAACTTAGCTGCTTTTCTCATTCTAATTCCAGCCATTATTTTGAACATGAATCAATCAGACGATAGAAAGTTAACTTTAAAAGAAGTTCGAAGATTTTTATCTTTTTACCTTCTCAAAAACAATTCTCGAAACTGTTTCTAGGAGTCAAGAACGTTTCTATAGTGTAATTGTGCAATTACTTGATCGTAATTTAACGAAAGGTCTTGTTGATGCAATCAGATATATGATATCACCGGGTATTGTTATTCCAGTTTTATTACTTCTTCTTCTAACTATATATTTCCTCTTTGCTCTAGTACGTGGTCTACGTGAAGCAAATACGGACCTCACCAAACAGTTATTGCATGTAAGTTTATTACTCATACTTTCATCTTCCTTTGGATTTTGCGCATTTTTTTCAGAAAAAATTTCAAATTATTTCATGATTTTTGTTTTATGAATAAATCACAGTGCACTTAGTTCTTCCCACTCTCTTTTTGAGCAGCAGAAAAAATTCCCAAAAAAAGTTTCATTTCATCTTTAAAACTTTTTTAAACTTACTTTTATTGCATTTTTAGGAAAGAACAGAGGAAAAAAAGAGAATTTTTGAATTGGCTGGTGGAAAGAAACGCATAACTTCTAACAATACTGAAGTTCCACGTCCTTTTCCACATAACAATAAATCGAGTGATATTACAAGCGCAGCGAATAAAATAAATAATATTACGGTTAATTTTTTCATTATTTTCAAATCATAGCTCTGCGAAGTATTGGATATTTATATATTTTTACGTGTATGTGCACAAAACGTCAGCACTTATTTGTCTTCTTTTCACATCATTTTTTCACTGTTTATTATCAGTAATTTTTCATTTTTTACTCTAATTACTATCAAATTCAATGTGTAACTTGTTCGTCTTAATGAACGAAACTAACTCGTAAAGTTAAAATGTTTTTAAAAAAAGTTACAGGAAGAAACGGATTACATATTTTTCTAAGTTGACCGTAAACTTTAATATATAAAAATATGCAGTCAATTGTTTAAATTATTATAGCTTAAAGAGATATCAAGTATTGAAATCAACAATTGCGAATAAAAATGCAAATTTTAGGATGATGAAATTTTACCGGATAAGTCGTATAAACGAAGCTTTATTCCCTCATTGAAGTAAGTTATTTCATAGTGTGTAACAAAAATAAGTGAATGATGTGATTACACGAAAAGATAAAAAATATTTTGTAGCATCAAACTTTTCTGTGAGTGTTAAGTTGTACTTGTACTTGTAACAGTGAGTGCTAGAATTCGTATTTTGTCAAGAATTATCCGGTTATTCTCCATCTTATTAAATATGATTATACGTGAATATCTAGAAAATACTAATTTAATATTTTTAATATTTTGTACAGTTATTTAAATAATACAAGGAGCATCATAATTGCAATTTATGTTAACTAATTGAATGAAATATTTCCAAATTTTAATGCTTGAAATATATTCATCAAATAATGAATAATTCAGAAGTGTCAGTGAAGCGGAAAATTCGGAATCAGATGAAGAGGAACCGGAACAGAAGCTAACACAACAGCAAGAAGATAAAAATTTTGAAATAGTTGAAGTAAAACGTGGTTGGAAACAGAAAATCACAACTTGGCTTGGTTTAAATAAAAAACCAAATAGGTTAATTAATTAATGCTTGTAAAGGAAAAAAAGAATAAATAGAGAATTACAAAGCGCTTTTTTTTGTTTCAATGTATTACAATAAAAGGATGAATTATTATATTAAGAAAGAGTTCAAGAAACACTTGATTATGTTTGATTGTAACTGCAGATCTTTATTTTTTTAAGATCAAGGAAATCTCGACTAAGATATGATCACAATGATATTGAAGCAGGAAATGAATCACTTATATCCGGCAAAAAATCTCCCACAAAATCAGCGACATCAGATGATCAGCGTTCGATGGCATCGATTACCGAATCATGCTTACATAGCAGGTAACAAGTCAACGTTGGATATTATTATTACTATTATTCCTTCTTTGGATTATTCATTGATAAGAAAAAAATCATTTCAAAGATTAGCAGAGTGTTCATTTTTTTAGTTAACTAATTTATTACTTTTATTTTGCAAAAAATAAAACATTTTCGGAATCCTTGAAATCATTTGCAATTTATGATTTAATGAATGCTTACTGATATCTGAAGTAAATGTTATTTCAGTCCATCGTCGGAAAAATTAATTGAAGAAGATGAGAATGAAATAGAAATTGATCAAAGCATTTTGCTTACTACAAAAAAGTAAGATTACCATTTATCTTTTTTTTTTCTGCAAAAAAATTTTCTGCAAAAAAATTTAATTCTAATAATTGGCTTACTCTTTTTATTCATTTTATGTAAACTTTGCTAATGCACTGTTTACTGTTTTTCTTTCTTTTGTACTTTACTGGATTTTTGCTTTTCTTTAAAGTTCATGCAAAATGCTGGTCTTGTTATTTTTAATCGAAAGATTTTCCCGATCAACTAGGCTAGCACAACATTAGCTAAATAGAGGTACAGATTAACTGCAAGTGAGTGATTTCTTTCACAGGAAAAAATATTTTTTATTAGGTTTACTCTTATGATAGGTAGCGTTACCAAGGATTTGTATCCAGCAAATATTCTCGATATACAATTAAGTAGTATCATTTTTAATTTTCTATTAAACTTCGATAGCATACATCTTAAAAAGCTTTAAAAAAATCGAACAAACATATAGAAAGAGAATAGCTAATCAATTTTGCAAGTGAAATAACACATGTTTTATAAATGAAAACGTTTGCAGATCATTATGTCATTCTTTTGATGATTCATTCCATAAATCATCAAAAGAAATTGATAGGAAATATGGTTCTTCCGATTTGTCAGATCCGCGTTTCTCTTACGCTGACCCATATAGCAGGTGAGAATAATTCATTCATTCAACACTTTTAATTAGCACTAAGAAGGGAAATTTCTTTGACGACTAAGTTGAAACGATTCGTAAGGAAAAAAAAATTAATTTAGATATTATTGTTTTAGTTACGCAAATGCGATGATGTCGCCTTTAATGGAAATGCAGACATTATCATCGGCAATATATTCTGAAAACGATATGGATGCGGAAGATGAGTTTGATGAAGGCACTGAAGCAATGCAAGATCTGGAAGACCATAATAGGTACGGATATAAAAGATGATTTAGGTTTTGGAAGGTGGAAATTTAAATTTTATACCGAAATAAAATAATCAATTCAATAATCTGAATGACGAGAATGATTGAATCAACAAAGGATGCAGTTTTTCATGCATAACAAAGATTTCTCCGCAGCATCTTAAAAGAAATGATCATTTCAAAGCCTATTGCTTAAATTTCATAACCTGTTGATTAAATGGTTTGAGCTATTTAG